TTGGAAAGATGCCGCTGTCCTGCCGGCGATGTCGTCGTTAGAGCAAACAATGGATGGGACAAAAACTAAGACAAGTAGGTCCATGTGGCACTTACTCCAGTGAYCATATAAAGGAATGCAAATTCGGTGAGACAATTCGTGGTGGGAGAGAGACTCCGTCGCCGAGTACTACCATTCATCCCGGTGGATGAACGTCCATCCACAATCCTCAACAAAGCGTAACTCTTCAAAATATCGCTGATTTGCGCCCACGCCACGACGGAAACGGTATGACCGTAGATGTGTCCTGTGAGCGCTTGGAGCGCACCTATGTGATTTGCGCCGGCCACGATGTCATGACGATTTTAATGCCAGGGTGTACAATGAAGGTATCTTTGACATAACAGTCGTTAAATTCAGTCTCCTTGATGAAACATAGCAAATGGGTCGAGGTTGATCGACTGCGCCACCTGGCTGTATCCGGATCGAAAAATCACCAACAAAATGGATAAAGTTGTGATAGACGGAAGACACTTATGCAGTGTTTGAGACGTGCGTACGCTCCGAGGTTCTAGGTTCCCGTTCCCACGACAGTCGGGTGGTCCCACGACCGGAACGGACCCGGATTTTTTCCGGCCAAGGGCTGTCAACTCGGCAGAATTCTGCCGTTACAACAACAACAGGTTTTAGCATCGACTCATTTCACTATATTGTTGCATCGAAGATACGCACCCGCTTTTGTGCAACAAACAACGCACGTCAATAAACACAAGGAATGTATGACGTCGAGAAGCTGAAATAACTGCAGACAGTCATACGATTTCGAAGAGGGCACTCATCAGCAACGCGTGCTCTAGTACGAGGATCACGAGGATACCCAGATGTGGTAGCTATCTCCGCCTCACGCTGTATTTTAACTGCAGCGATGCTGCTCTTCCGAGTGTATGTTTACGGCACTGCTTATGTATCGTTCCAGATGTTTTGTCCTTCAAATATTCATCGAATTCATCACCCCTTTCAATACTTGAATCCATTAAAGTATGGAGCCCACGACCAACAACCACAATTTCATTTTCACTTAAAGATTCATTGCAAATAAAGCAGACTTCAGACAATTTAAAAAATTTTGTAATGGCACGGTTAAAAAACAGAATATAATTCACAAACACGTCTATTCTCTTCACTCATCAGCAACGCGTTATAACGAAACTCTGGGACGAAACGCTACTTATCTAGAGCCGCAAACCAAACCGCTGGTTTTTGGAATATGAACGCCAGAAGATAGTGAACCCTACTACCCAATCGACAACTAAGGAGCGAACGTTCCATTGACCGATCATGAAAAAGTTACCGTCTGAAGAACAACAAAGCAGTGTGGGCCAATGGATTGCCTGCTCGCTATTCAAATACGGTGGCGAAAAAAAGGGAGACCCCACAATAAGCACCAACTACCATGAGATAATCTAAGTTCCTCTCGAGTGTATCGTGTTAAAAATTAAAACCCCAAATCTTGAAAAAAAACCAGTGAAAAGGGAATCGACAAACACCGGCTCTTCGTCGATTTCAAAGCTGCTTTTGATAGAARGAAAAAGAGTGACCTTATGGTGTTATATCTGAATTTTGTATCTCCACAAAACTATTACGGCTTTGTAACGTCAGAATCGAGAAGGACCTCCCGAGTCTTTCGATACCAAACGATGTTTCAGACAAGGCGATTCCCTACCGTCCCGTTCCCACTACAGTCGGGTGTACGAAAACCGGAACGGACCCGGATTTTTATCCGGCCAAAGACTGTCAACTCGGCAGAATTCTGCCGTTATAACAACAACAACATTCCCTATCGTATGACTTCTGCAATTTACTATTGGAGAAAATTATTCGAGCTGCAGAGTTGAATCGGGGAGGTCCCTTTGTTTTTATATGTGTACGACTGCTGGCGTACGCCGATGATTTTGATATTATTGTCCTCAACATCTACCCCCTTAGTCCTGCTTTCTCCACACTGGATAAGGAAGCGGGACTTAGAATAGCACCTCCATTTTTGGGGTTAAAATGGGTATCTACGAATAGAGGAGGTCGATAAAAAAGTTAAAAAAAAGTGTTAAATTCATAATATATAAAAGTCAAAACCAAAGTCAGCAGTAACTTTATATTTATATTTTCTTGATCTGAAGGACCTCCTCTATCCGTACATACCCATTTTAACCCCGAAGTTGGAGAATGATATTCTAAAATTTACCCTTGAAATGAACCCACGTTTCTCTTTTATTTTCTTTCGACCGCGATCTAACAAAAAAAACTTTATTTGAGCCAATACCCAGGTTGATTGCAGTGCTTTCGCGTAATACTCCTTTATGCGTTGGCAGCTTTCACCGCGCTCTGAAAAAAGAAAACCCTGGTCCCGTTAATATCCGGAATAATCAAAGTATTTTAACATTTTTCTATGTAATATTAYTGTATGATAATTGTAAAAATTAATTTTTAAAATATAGATTTTTTATTTAAAAAAACCTGCAAAAAATTTAAAATAGGAATTTGGTTAAATGTACAAAGTTCAGTTTAACTAATTTGAAGAGAAAAATATGCGTAAAATGTGTTAAGTGTAGTGAAATAGTTTATTGAAATGTTCGAATTTTGGGAATTTTGACTACATATATACATATATATATTTTAATCAGAAGGACTTTTCTTTTCAACTGCATCTTCAGATCGCTGCGCCAAAGAAATATACATATAAATAAAGAAATTGGTATTTTGTTAACTGGCGCGCTGATGTAAAATCCGCTATATATAGCGATAGCGTCGTCTACGACAATAAAGTAGAGGAAAAAGAAATATATAAATATTGTTATACTCAAATGTCGAATAAATTTCTTTCAATGCTTGCTAGTAACCTTAGAAATTTTTTTTTTAGTTGTCGTGCTCCATATTATAAAAAAATACAAACAAAACTTTAAAGAATTTACTATACCGTCCAAAGATTTCKGGAATAAAATGGGTATGGTCGGATGGAGAGGAGATTCCAGATCGCGTTTAAAGTTGAAAATTATCACTATTTTATTTACGTATTTTCTCGATATGCAATTAATTTTGCGCTTATATTTTTCACTTTTATATCCACTAACACATCACTAATTCATTTGTACACATTTTATACAATATAGTGTAAAAATAGCTTTTATTCCCTAAATAAAGGAAACATAATCGTTGATCAGCAATAAAAAAAAATTAATCGGCCTAAGGTCTACGCTTAAAAAATTCGACACACCCCAGTGTTTGTCAGACCAGGGTTATTATTATTTAGACCGACCGGGTTATTTTGTTTTTTTTTTTTTTTGTTTTTAATTTTGGAATATGTTTACCACAAAATGTGGCCAACAGACCCGAGGATGCATTGTAAAGTTATTAGAGACAATAAAACTTATATACAATTATTTATTAAAAATAAAAGAAAATACGTAATTAAAATAGTGGTAATTTTCAATATTAAATCTGGAGAATCTCCTCTATACGACCATACCCATTTAAACMCCGAAATCCTGGGACGGTATACTAAATTATTCCCAAACAATTTTTTAACATATCTGTTGCAAAAACATCTAGCTTGACTAAATACAGAAATATGTAGTATACACTCGCGATCCATAACTCATCTATACGGATCACGAATAAAATATCACAAGTAATATTGAGCGTGCGACTGGATGTATCACATGTATGTATATATACAAAATCATAACTTTTTTTATGGCTGCGAACGGCTGATTTTTCTTGACTATCAAATATGTTTTTAATATGGCAGAGGAATTAAGAAATAAATTGTACAAATATCGCTTTGAAAAACAAAGGCAGAATTTAATTCAGATATTTAAGTCAAAATTCCGTGATTTCTGGATGATGGGTATGGGACAGCGTAGTTTGTGTGAAGTAGAGCAAATCGGCATTAATGTGATTGTGAGTTTAGGTTTGCAGATAATATAAATTGCTGTTTTGCATTACATACAAACATATGTACCTGTCTCTTATACACATCTAGATGTGTATAAGAGACAGTGACTATGGCAAGTAACTACAAGA